CACTCGTAAATTTTGTTCGTATCTGAAAAAAATCTCAGAATACGAAAACATTGGTGAATGCAACAAATTCTCCTAAATCACTCGTACGCACAACTTAAGAACAAACTTGTGCGTACGAACGGTTCTTGCATGAGGCCCAATGTGTCTATAATAGAAAGTGCAATTATATATATTTTTGTAAAAAATATAATATTGTAACTTGTGACTGTTTTATTTTTAATGTGATTCTGATTTACATAATTTTAGGCAATACCAATAAAATATAAAAACTAACTGTTGTTACATTAGTGTTTCAGTTCATTTTGAACTGTATTTTTCTTATCAGCTCTCACCCACATAGATGAACCGAGCAAGCCACAAGGTATGCAAAATTTAAAATATTTTATTTACTTTACTAAAAGATAGTTTATACTTTTTGCCCATGTAGCTGGTGTCCACACATAACAGTGTGCTCTGTGGCAACAAAAACGTTACCAAAACAAGAGCAAAAATAAGATTTGTAGCTTAAAGATATATAGAAAACAAATCTAATATATTATCTTAAACGTTTAACGAAAATCAGTTTAGAGCAAATACACTGGGTCTGTATAAAAGTGAAAAGGTGGTGAGTGATATGTATTCCTACAAGTAATCCTAGCTTTTACTTCAAAGTGGTCCTAATCAATAGTTCTCCATACTTTATGAAAGTTTAACATTTTTCCTAAAAGTTTGGCTTCTTTATCCTTAAGCTCTCTTTGGAAATGGCTCAACGAGCTTCACTAAAACCATCTGTTTTTTTCTTTTTTCACCACAAATCCAGTCCTGCAAAATGAGTCATCTGCACAACTCAGGTTCTTCCATGTATATGCATTCCTCCAACCGGGGTTTATGTTCTCACAGCGGCAATCTTACAAATGTGTGATTCATTTATATTAAGAAGTCTAAAAGTAAACTACTCAATGAGAGAAATGAAATAACGTGGGAGTAAAGCAGACAGGATATGGGGATGATTTCATCTGCTCCAGCTTGCTGATTAATGTATGAACAAATGCGTGTTAGAGAGTAATACCGCCTTAAAAAGACTTACTAAGTTAGAACTTGGACATCACTGTATCAAATCAAATATACAGCACGATAAAATACTGTTGCAAAATTTTACAATAAATTAAAATAACCTGTATACATTTCTTAAACATGGAACTGACAAACTTTTCACTTGAAACTTAAACTGTAACACATTCAATAGAGTATCTATACCAATATCAGTATTGGTAACAACCCCAAGTATCGGAGCATTTTGTTTGAGTACTTGTAAAAAAAGGCTAGTATCAGGACATAACTACTCTGAAGTTTTAATATATTTATAATATATCTTACAACAAGGGTACTCTTCATGACCTGAGTGCTTTTTTTTTCAGTTCAACATCAGCAAAACTTGTCAAAATATTATGCTATTTTCTTTTAATTTATAGTATTTATAGGATTTACAAAATTGTTCTCTCATAGGTTTATTCTGCAACAGAGAAAATAAGTTCTGAGACAAAATATACATTTAGATTTGCAGATGAAATAACAGATTTGTCTCCAGATTTGCCTTGAGTCTAAATCGAAAGCAATTTATGTTTCATCGCACGTCACTGAAGGCACAAGAATGATTATGATTTTCCCTTTTTTTTTTTGGTGTGTAGTTAACAAAACAATCTGAAAATAATAATTGGATGCACGTCTACAACCAACTGGAATCACCCCAGCTCTACATATTTGCAACAGCTAAACAAAATCACTTTACCTCTCGTAAATTTACAGGTGTTGATGTAAAAGTTGATGTGGGAGTAGCTGAGCATCACTCCAACACAGCCTCCAAATGCTAACACATCTTGGAATATTACACAAGGTTGCACATAACGACCTCTATTGACCAAAACAGCTCTGACTTAGTCTTTTCTCAGACGATTTAGGTTAAAAGTGATATGAAAGGCAGCAGGCAACATGCTAGCTTTTTATTTCTTTAGAATTTCTTTTCAAAATCCCATTTACTCTAAAGTGTCTGAACGTGAAGGCCCTGTCACATAACATTTTA